CTTCTCAGCCATTTTTCTTAACATGCAATCTTTGGCAAAATGGTTCTTGCCGTGACAGTAATTGCAGTCGTATCCAGAGTCTCCTGCAAGCTTGCTCTCCTTCTTTTCATCATCCTTTTGAGAGGAGTTCTTTGCTTCATCTTTCACCTTCTCAGAGCTGTAACTTCCCTGCCAGTTTCGGTTCTTGCTGACAAAGAATTTTCTTCTTGCAAACTTCTTCGGATTGGATATCATCAAAGCATATTCCTCGCTAGTCAGATCACACTCAGACATATCAGTCTCTTCTTCATATTCTGGGATACTTTTGCCTTTTGAGACAAGAGCCAGAGATCCCATACCAGAAAGTACTTTCGCTTCTTTGGTTACCACGCTTTCATGGAACTTGAGTATTCCCACCAGTTTCGGTAGAGAGTAGGATTTGAACTGTTCATGTGCTTTCACAGTTGATACAACAGCCATCCATTCTGGTCTCAGCCCGTTCATAAAAGTTACTTTCTGCTCGATCAACTTCCTCTCTATTCCATGCTTGATCATCTTACTCAGGAGATGACTGAACCGATCGAAAGTATGTATGAGTTTTTCCTCTTGTTTCTGTTCGAAAACTCCAAATTCAGACAGCAGCAAGGTTTGTATGGAGTGGTCCAAATCTTCATCGGTCGAATAAAGCTCTTTCAATCTATCCCAGATTTCTTTGGTTGTTGTGCATGAACCAACCAACCGAAAGGTGTCAGATTGCAAGGCGAATCTGATCATCCTCATAGCCTTTACATTACAGAGCAATTTGTCTTTCTCGTCCTACGACATCTTGTTTACGTCCGCTACCAGCTTGTTGTACTCCTTTTGGGACTTGACAGTAGTGTTCGTTCCTGAGTGAACAAACGGCCCAAGCGTGATTGCTTCCCAGATTAGATAGCCATTGTCTTCAGAACCAACCACGTAGTCTTCGAAGTGATGTGCCCACACTTCATAGTCTTGAGTGTAGAGTATGGGTATTCTGGTCGTGGATCCGATGCTGTTTGAGATGTTGATGGGGTTCGTTTGCGAATCTTCGTGAGACATGGTGGGCTGCTAGAATCAAACCTGTAAACTAGAGATTAGGGTTTTATCTAAAACAGAGTAGCCGTCAATATGAAGAAGACGACTTCTATTTATACGATAAAAGCGGAAACCCTAAAGTATTCTGAATACAGAAGGAATGTGTATTGATCACACAGTCTCCCGCTCTGATACCAATTGTTAGAACAATGTTCTATTAGGATCGTATGATTCTATGAAAGCTAATGATTAAGAACGTAATAAAGAACACAAGAATGGCACTGAATATGTCGTATGATTAATACTTCAACACCTCAGAAGAGCTCGATAAAGAACTTCAACTGTAGAGGTGATTAGGGTTACAATATTAAACGTAATGATCGACTCTTTAATCCGCATACATGCATGCATATTTATAGTAAAACCCTATTAGCTAATCTAGATAATCACGGAACTAATCTAGATAATCACGGATGGACAGGCCCAATCCGGATACAAAACTTAAGGCCCAAGACGCAACACAAATGGACTCAACACCTTTCCTTAAGCCCTTGGACGAAAACTCCTAGATCCTTCTAGGATTTTCGTTCAAGCCTTAATAAAGGTGATCCAATGGCCCAAAGTCTCAACTATCAAATAATTACAAAACAGCCCCTGTACTTTTAATTAATTCCTTTAATCCCGAAATTAATTCCTAGTTAATTTCTGATTAAATACTAATTAATAATATGATTCCTAATTAATATATTATTCTAATAATATATTAACAAATCATATTTATACCCCGATTTATTATTCTTAACAATAAATCAGTATCTCTCCTTAACAGTCATCCTGTCTAGTCACCAGTGTGAAGGCAACCCAAAAAGACCATGCTAGAACCGGGTTAAGTACATACCAAATATAGTTATGGGCTTAGACACTAATCCAACAGTACTAACCCGTCATTACTCATTCTTCACTCAGCTGGTGCAACCGCATATTTATTACTTTATGTTGACGACATCATACTGACATCTTCTTCTACATCTCTCTTACAACAAATTATTGCCAAACTTAGCAGTGAGTTTTTCATGACCGATCTTGGACCGCTTAACTATTTTTTGGGTATCTCTGCTGTCCGATCTTCCACATGACTTTTCCTCTCTCAACAGAAGTATGCCTATGAGATTTTAGATCAAGCCAACATGAGAAATTGTAACCCATGTCGGACTCCAGCTAAACCACTCCACAAACTAGACGCATTCGGCACACCAATAGCTGGCCCCACTTTATTTCGCAGTGTAGCAGGTGCCCTTTAGTATCTCACTTTCACCAGACCTTACATTGCTTTCGCACTTCAACAAATTTGCTTATACATGCATGATCCCCGCGAGCCCCATCTTCACGCTCTCAAACAATTTCTTCGCTATGTGCGGGGAACTCTTTACTATGGGCTCCAACTATACGTCTCCCCCACTTCATCTCTCGTTGCATACTCTGACGCGGACTGGGTGGGGGGGATGCCCTGCAACCAGACGCTCCACCTCAGGATACTGTGTATTTCTTAGAGACAACCTCATTTCTTGGTCCTCCAAAAGACAAGGCACCATTTCCAGATCTAGCGCTAGCTGAGGCCGAATACCATGGTGTTGCCAACACTGTTGTTGAAATCTCCTGGCTCCGAAACCTTGTTCTTGAACTTCGTTGTCCTACGCCACAAGCAACCATTGTACATTGTGACAACGTCAGTGCGTTCTACATGTCAACCAACCCAGTTCAACACCAAAGAACGAAACATATCAAAATCGACATTCACTTTGTTCGTGACAAAGTAGCTCTTGGCCATATCTTCACCAAAGGTCTACCCATTATGCCGATATCTTCACCAAAGGTCTACCCACCAGCTTATTCACAGATTTTCGCTCCAGTTTAAACGTCCGTCATTTCCCTCCCGATCAAACTGCGGGGGGATGTTAGTGTATATTGTATACGTGTGTATATTAGCCCAATATTAGTTTTATTGTAATCGGCCCAACAGCCTGTATATACTCTATATATTACATTGTATTGTATGTTTTCGGTATGAAATGAGAATCAGATTGATTTTCATCCAATAATAACATTAAGTAAAAAATTCATAAATACGTAAAAAAAATACCAAAATACTTAACAATACTTAAAAAAATACATATAAATTTATAAAAACCACGTTTATATATTTAAAATACATAAAAATATGTAAAAAAAAACTATATAAAAAACTTTAAAAAGTACATAATTACATGAAAAATATACCAAAATACATAAAAGTACGTAAAAATACTTAGAATTTTATATAAATACGTAAAAAAATACGTTTATACATTTGAAATACATAAAAAACGTAAAAATATTTATAAAAAATGAAAAAAAAAAACTTTAAAGAAACTCATAAATATGTAAAAATACTTAAAAATACATATGAATACATAAAAATACTTTTATACATTATATACAAATTTTTAGAAAATTTATAAAAATGTCTCATTATTTTGGAAAAATTGACGATGTGGTACGATGACATGAACAGGTCAAAAGAGGCTAAAATAAAGAAATTTGTTCGTTTCTTGGGTTTTTATATATAAAAAAAAAGTTTGAAACTTATTCGGTAATTTTCTCAAAATCATGAGAATTTTCTACAAATTTCCTTTTTAGATTAGTTACATTAATCCCAAATCAAATGTATCGGCTTTCTTATTTCAGCCTTGTACTCAAATATTTACTTTAGTGGTTTTGCCAAACTCTCACCATATTGCTATTTTCGCGTTTAGGTCAATTGCAAATTGTTTCAACTCTTTTGTATAAACTCAGAACATAACATTTGCCAGTGTTTGATTTTCATAGAAATAAGCCTTTATCATTGCTTTATCAACCACATTGCATAATGTACTTAAGGGATTTAAAGTCTCTTTCATGCTTGAAACTCTGTTATTTTCCCTGTATTAGATCATCAATATGCGTGTTGCGATAAAATTTTCATTTGGCTAATTTTTATCTTCCCTTTTTATAGGCAGATACTAAATGGACAACCTAGAGTATAAGATTAGGTCATGGGGAAAAAATTACCGTATGATTGGCTTGGGTTATTACAAGATACAGAAGACTTAACTGAATAAGTAACACTACAACATAAACTGAAAATAAAATCACAGCAAGGGAAAGCAGCAGAGTCGAGAATCCATATTATCAGTTTAAAGAACATACAGTAGTTAAACACTTAAACGTTTTTTTTTATTTTTTTTTATTTTTATTTTATTTTATTTTATTTTATTTATTTTTATACAATACGGTCTTCTTAATTAGTGTTAAGATTCTTCAACATGTAATTCATAAGAAGCTTGTATCAAGAGTTAAGAGGAATTGTAATTGAAACCTTCTGTATACGTTTTGCAAATCCCTATTGAAATATGTATTTGAATTTGGATTTATTTGACATAAAATAAATAATATTTTTTATGTTGTATAATATTAATTTACCAATGTTATTTTGCTACTTTTTACATGTATTGGAAATCCAAGTGATGGAAAAAGTTGCTAAATTTCACCTGAAAAGATAGCTAATGCAAATCCGTTGCTAAACTACAAGAGAAACTTGTGTAGCTAAATTTCTAGAAGGATTGCAATTTTCATTGACTTATTTATCTACTACGTAATGACATAAGAAAACATATCCAGAGTATCTTAACAAGAAGGAATATAAATGCTGATATAAGAAAACGTATCAGTAGTATCTTAACAAGAAGGCATTTAAATGCTGATGCAAGAAAACATATCGGTAGTAGTATCTAACAAGTATCTTAACAAGAAAGCATTTAAATGCGGATATAAGAAAACAATCAAACATATGTGTAGTATCTTAACAAGAAGGCATCTAATTGCATAAATATCATAGGGTGCATCCTAGGAAACTACAGAAAAATAAAGAACATTGAAAGTACACTATATTAGGCCTTCATCAACAGATTTGAAACTTGGTGCATCGTTGGCCTTTCAAGTGGATTGGAGTTCAAACATGCTCTTGAGACTCTCAATACTGACATAACTTCTTTCTCAATTTGGGATGAGGGAGGCGGTATCCGACTGTCTCCCACATTTGCTAACACCAGATGATCATCTGATAATGTTGGTAAAGATGTTATGAGTTCTCCAGGATGCTTTCCCATGACCACTTCTAGTGCAACAACTCCAAAGCTATACACATCACATTTCTCATTTGCCACCATCGTATAAGCAAGCTCTAGATCCAAAGAAACATAAGAAAAAAACAAAAAAAGCTATATCAACCTCACATGATTCTGACGTAGATACATATTTATGTACATCGTGAAACTTAAGAAGATGTAGAACTACAATCACAAGATTATGTTACCTGGAGCGATATAACCATAGGTTCCTGCTACTGCAGTCCAGTTAGATGAGTCTAGCTTTAAAAGCTTGGATGTGCCAAAATCAGAAATGCGTGCCTCATAATCAGAATCGAGAAGGATGTTGGATATGGAAATGTCTCTATGCACTATAGGCGGTGAACAATCGTGATGCATATAAGCCAAACCATTAGCAACGCCCTTTACAATATTGACCCTTGGTAACCAATCCAATTCTTTTGCTAAAACATCGCTTTTTAAAATTGATCCAAGGCTGCCATTTTCAAGGTATTCATAAATCAAAATTAAGTTGCGGGCATGGGAGCAATATTCATAGAGTTTCACTATGTTTCGGTGCCTTATGTTCGTTAATGCCCCTACCTCATTAAGGAAACCACTATGATCAACATTCTCGGATGATGAATGAAGTTTCTTGACAGCAACCACATTGCCAGGTTGTAGCTTAGCCTTGTAAACAATAACATATCCTCATGTCCCTATGCATTACGCTTCATTGAAATCATTTGTTGCCTTCAAGATATCATCATACACTACTTTACCATCAAAACTTGTAATATGGAAATAATCACCACTTTCTTCTTCCAATGGTTTACGTGGAGACTTTTTCCATTGTTGTCGATAAGCAATGAATCCATGCGTGAATAAACCAAGTTGTAAAATCAGATTATGCGTAAAGAGAGAGATGGAAGAATACAATTTTTCATTCACATACGGAAGGAGGAGTTACAATCTGAATATATACATTGCATGTATAAGGAAACTATACATTTACATTTCTGACCCTAAACTATACAATTCTAACACTCCCCCTCAAGCTAGAGCATATATATCGTAGGCACCAAGCTTGTTATATGTATAGTCAACCCGGGGTCCTCTTAGGGACTTTGTAAACCCATCTGCAAGTTGCTCACTCGAATTAACGAACTCTGTCACTATTAGACCATCAAGTAGTTTTTCTCTAACAAAATGACAATCAATTTCAATATGTTTTGTCCTCTCATGAAACACTGGGTTGGAAGCAATATGAAGAGCTACTTGGTTGTCACATATAAGCTTCATCCGAGAAACCTGGCAAAATCTTAGTTCCTTGAGAAGTTGTTTGACCCATATAAGTTGACATTTTGCATTTGCCATAGCTCGATACTCTGCTTCTGCACTATACCTTGCTACCACATTTTGTTTCTTACTTTTCCAGGATACTAAATTACCCCCAAAGAGAACACAATATCCAGATGTTGATCTTCGACTAAAAGGACAACCATCATAATCAGAATCAGTGTAGCATGATACTTCTGTGCTCCCTTTGTTCTCATATAAAAGACCTTTCCCTGGAGCTCCTTTGATATATTTTAGGATCCGTAGAGCGGCTTCCCAATGAGTGTCACATGGAGCATTCAGAAACTGACTAGCTATACTTACAGCAAAGGAAATGTCCGAACGAGTTACTGTGAGATAGTTAAGACGACCTACCAGTCTTCGACATTTCCCTTGATCTGCCAACAACTCCCCCTGACCTGGTAGGAGTTTAACATTAGGATCCATTGGAGATTCAACTGGTTTGCAGTCGGATAAATGAGCTTCCTCTAGAATATCTAGAGCATACTTTCTTTGGGATATTGAAATCCCATCTTTGGACTTTGCAACCTCTATACCCAAGAAGTATCTGAGATTGCCCATATCTTTGGTCTGAAAGTGCTTGAACAAGTGATCTTTTAACTCATGTATTCCCTTATGATCATTCCCTGTGATAACTATGTCATCAACATATACTATCAAGTAGATACATTGTGTCCCTGAAATACGATAGAAAACCAAATGATCTGCCCCACTTTGCCTCATCCCGAATTCTTTTACCACATCACTAAATCTCCCGAATTAGGCTCTTGGAGATTGTTTTAAGCCATAAAGAGATTTTCGTAATCTGCAAACTAAACCGGACTCCCCCTGAGCAACAAACCCAGGAGGTTGCTCCATGTAAACTTCTTCTTGCAGATCCCCATGGAGAAAAGCATTTTTAATGTCCAGTTGGTATAGAGGCCAATTACGCATTGCAGCCATGGATAGAAGAATACGAATGCTAGTCATTTTAGCAACCGGAGAGAAAGTATCATTATAGTCCATACTGAATATTTGAGTGCATCCTTTGGCTACCAACCGAGCTTTAAGACGGTATAGTTTACCATCTGGACCTACCTTAGGAGTGAATATTCAACGACAACCAACAGGTGATTTTCCAGGAGGTAACGAAACTAACTCCCATGTCGCATTATTGTGTAAGGCGGACATTTCATCAATCATTAATTGGCACCACCCTGAATAAAGTAAAGCCTCGTTTACGGTCTTTGGAATATGTAGGAATATGTACCAACGCAAGGCTGGAAATACATGCTGCGAAAGCTAAGGATAAACGGTCATAGTGAACATAATTATGGATAGCATACTTGGGGTTTGTAGTTGACCGTTTACCTTTCCGTTGAGCAATGGGCACATTATCATCACACAGAATCGGAGCTGGTGGACTAACCGGCGAAGAGGATGATTCAAAGGTTCCTATATTTGGTGGATCTGTCTCACCATCAGTATCAGTAGAAGGTGGTATAGGAGGCCGAGGACGACGATTATAGGTTTTCAACGGTGGGGGATCGACAACTGGACTTGAAGTATGATCAGTTGATGGAATAGGGAAAACAGGAATCGGAAGGACCTGTTGAACATTAGATTTATCGTATGGATCAGTAAAGTAATAAAGTCGATGATCAAAAAATGTTACATCTGCGGTCATGAAATATTTGTTAAGGATAGGAGAGTAACATTTGTAACCCTTTTGTAATCGGGAGTAGCCAAGAAAGACACACTTGACCGCTTTAGAGGCTAACTTATCTTGACATGGATCAAGACAATGAATAAAACAAACTGATCCATCTGGATGCAAAGGGAGATGATAGGGCGGTTGTGTTGGAAATAAAATAGAAAAAGGGGTTTGATTTTTTAAGACAGAAGAGGGCATACGATTAATTAGATAACAAGATGTCATAACTGCATCAGCCCAAAATTTAAGTGGGAGTTTGGTATGTAACAATAAGGTGCGTGTCGTTTCAGTAAGATGACGATTTTTTCTCTCAGCAACACCGTTTTGTTGTGGGGTTCGAGGGCATGATGATTCATGTAACATGCCATGAGAAGACATAAACTCCTGAAATTGTGTAGAGAAATACTCAAGTGCATTGTCACTCCTGAGGACACAAATGGTTGCACCAAATTGGGTTTTTATTTCAGCACAAAATTCGGTGAATATTGCAAACACTTCAGAACGACTTTTCATTAAAAATAACCAAGTTGAGCGCGAATAATCGTCAATAAATGTAACAAAATATTGAAACACCAATGTGGAACAGACTCTACTAGGACCCCACACATCAGTGTGTACAAGAGAAAAAGGGGAATCAACACGGTTATTGACACGTTTAGAAAAAACACCACGAGTATGCTTTCCTAACTGACATGACTCACACTCTAATGACTCTAATGAAGCTAAACTCGGCACGATTCTCTTTAACTTGGATAGGGAAGGGTGGCCATATAGGTGATGTAGGTACTGTGGTGACATGGCAGTAGCTGCAATGGAAGGACGAGATCCACCCAAATAATAGTGACCTTGTGACTCATGCCCTTCGCCAATCATCTGTCCCGTGCTCAGGTCCTGTATAAAAACAGAATCAGGAGTGAAGGTTATTGAGCATGAATGCTTTTTAGTGGCTCGACTGACAGATACAAGATTAAAAGGACTTTTGGGAACATATAACACCGAATCCAAGGACAATGAAGAAATAGGTTGGGCAGAACCAACTCCGTTGACTGATGTCTTATTACCATCAGCAACCATAATTGGTGGTAAAGAATCAGAACAAGTGAGTTTAGAGAAAAGATTTTTTATTACCACAGAGATGGTCAGTAGCACCTGAATCAACAATCCACGGGCCCATTGACTTGCCTTGAGTGACAAAAGTTGAGTGAGTACCAGAGGAACCAATGATTGTAGGGTTGGACTGTTGGGCTCCCTTATGTATCTGAAAGGCTTCATAATCAGATGTTGACATATTGACAGACTGTGTTGGTGCAATTGCATGAATGGATCCAGATGTAGACTGATTCGGCCGAGTTGGTGGGGCAGCACGTCGGCCATGTTTCTTCCAACACTTATCCTCAATGTGACCAAGCCTTCCGCAAAACTGACAGGTGGGGCGTTTATTATTGCCTCCTTTCTTTGGGCCCGCAGCTAAGAGAGATGGAGCAGAAGTTGAGCTCAGATTTGCAAGAAAAGCAGAAGGAGTGGAAGTTGGGCCATGGGTTGTGTTGTTAGTACCCGTCATGTTTAGTAATCTTCGAAAAGTATCCTTCATGGTAGGAATAGTAGAACCTGTATGAATTTGATGCCTAGCAGATTCTAATTCTGGTTTGAGGCCAGAAAGAGCAGCAACCATAAAGAACTTCTCCCGTTGGGCAGTTTGTGTAGCCTGTGAGTTAACAAATGGCATAAGTGCCTCAAATTCTTGCATGAGGGCACGAACATGTCCCAGATAAGACTCCATACTTCCTTCTTGCTTCAGATTCTGAATATTATTAACAACTGTGTACAACCTTTGTATATCATTGGTATAGCATTCAGAAGCCTCGGTCCAGACATCATAGCATGTTTCAAAAGGCCTAAATAGTTGTATAATTAAGGGATCAATAGACTGCCATAATAGATTGCAGAGTTGAGCATCAATTTGTTCCTATTTGGCCTTATCCTTCCCTGAAATATCTGTAACACGTTTAGTTAAGTGATCACTCTGACCTTGACCTTTGAACCACATCTTGACAGAGGTTGCCCATGATACATAATTAACGGACCCTGCCAATTTTTCCGAAGTGATGGACTGGTTTCCGGTGATGATAAATGATTGTGAGGTTGTACCAGTAGGAGGATTAATAACACCACCCATTTTTTAGGGTTATCTAAAATTGATTTAATACGCAAAAGAGTGCTTGACTCGGGAGGAAGAATCAATCGATTAACCTCTATTGAAGTAATCGATTGAAGAAATTGAACCAAAAAAAAGAAATCGATCAGTTGATTTGAGTGACCCACCAGATAGCAGCGACAGCTGTAGGACGAGAGCACGAAATCAATTGTAGTGAGCGACCAGATAGCAATGAGAATTGTCGGATGAGATACACGACAATGGTGGGTAGGTTTGAAACCCTAGCTCTGATACCATGTAAAATCAGAGTATGCGTAAAGAGAGAGATGGAAGAATACAATTTTTCATTCACATACGGAAGGAGGAGTTACAATCTGAATATATACATTGCATGTATAAGGAAACTATACATTTACATTTCAGACCCTAAACTATACAATTCTAACACAAGTAAAACTACCCCTATAAGAGGGAGCATAATTACAAGGATGAGCTTCGGACGAAAGGGATTGTTTTCTTCTTCATAATTTGACTTGTACAAAGTTTCATTCCCGTAACATTTCCACACAAACCTGGATTACCTTGTACGGACGCATTCAACAAGTTGGGGCTCTGTGGAACCGGACCTGTGAGCTCATTGTAAGACAGGTCAATATCAATTCCACGAGGCAAATTTGTAAAAGCATTTGGAATAGAACCAGATAGCATATTGTGGGAAAGATCCAATTTCTGCAAAGTTTGTAAAGTTTGAACTTCAGATGGTATCTCTTGTGTGAACAAATTCTGAGATAAATCAAGTTTTGTTAGGAATCGGACCGGGTACACGCAGCGGAAACACTATCACCCACATCAACAAACTCACGAAATAAAAGCAAGAAGAACATAAGGATATTACGTGGTTCGGATTCGGTGCAAATCCTACATCCACGGGCCGCAACTAGAGATATTTATTATAGGCTTAACAATAAGATTACAAGTATTGTTGTCTAGAGGTACAAGAAAACCGGAATACAAGGCTGCTATTTATAGCCATGGCACCAAAGTGGCAAAAGAATAAACAACTCACAAAAGTCCTTTCCAAGGTGTAAAGCTCCATTATTGTCACTAACCCACTTTGCCATTGTCCCCCACTAAGCCTTGACAACCAATTCCATGTATTTTCTTCACATGGTCTCCACCAACCAACAATCTCCCACTTGGAGAAAATAACCCAACAATTCTTCAGTAATCTTAAAACAACCAAGTCTTCCAAGCCTCCAGTTCCCAAGAACAAACTAAACTTAGTCTCATTTCTCTAGTTGCAGCCGCCCCTCATCATCAAGTACAAGAAGGGCCAGTTGAAGCTCCCACTAGCTCCAACTCAGCCGTGGCTAATCCCGCCACCGACTCATCCTCTGTCTCAACCGGTTTGGACACTCCACCAGCTCCAGAGATACACTGAGGACCACTAACACTCTCCAAGCTTAGCAAACATCCAACATGAGAGAATTTTTCAGTCTTAGTTTTCAAAACCCAACGGCTCTTTGTAATTGTACCCGGAACACGCCCCATGCTCCCACTGTCACAAAATCTCCTTACTGGTTTAGACTTTCCGACTCGTTCAGCTAACATCCCCATGTCTCCAGAATTCATGTTTGCAAAATGAACTCTCTTAGCACTAGATTTAGCGAACCAGATTTTGTTACGCTTAACCGGGACGGTCAAACTTCCCTCAGCAGGTACCTCAACCATATATAACGACCCACGCTTCATACCATGAGCAATCACCAGATTACCATTGACCACCCTCCATTTACCACCACCAAACCTTACTTCCAGTCCTTGTTTATCCAGCTGACCAACATAAATCAATTTCTTCTTCATCTCCGGAATCACCCTGACATTTTTCAGGTTCCATGTAGTTCCCAATGAAGTAACCAGATCAATATCTCCCATGCTCGTTACCCGAAGCATCTCATTATTTGCTAACCGTACCTTCCCAAAATCTCCTTCTTTTAGATTCACCATCGTTTCCCCGTTGTCCATGGCGTGAAACGAAGCCCCTGAATCCATGACCCAAGAGTCTACAAAACTTTCCATACTGAGCATCAATGCATCATCCTCAGACACACTCTCAGCATCGGCAATGTTCAATTCTTTCTTTGGACATTGACTCTTAACATGTCCCACCTCTTGGCAGTTCCAGCACTTCACATTCTTCCAAGTTCTAGACGAACTTCTTCCCCGACTCCCACTGCTCCCACCATTCCTGCTATTCCCTCTACCTCTTCCGATATTTAATAACTCAGAAGAAGACGAGCCACCTTGATTCTTGCGTCTGATATCTTCGCCTAGAACCAAATCTCGAATCCCTTCAAACGTCATGTCACTGGTCCCCACAGAACTCGTAACAGCGGTTACTGTTCCAGACCAGCTATCAGGTAGTGAAGCTAGTAGCAGTGATGCTTGAGTCTCATTATCAAATTTAATTCCCACAGATGATAATCTGGACAGAATTGAATTTAGATTGTTAATGTGAACCGTAACTGAGCCTTCCTCATTCATCCTTGTAGTGAACAACTCCCTCATCAAGAACACCTTGTTAGCCGCCGATGGTTTCTAATACATAGTTGACAGAGCATCCATCATACAACGCGCCGTGGTTTCATTCATGATGTTGAAAGCAACGCTCTTTGTCAACGACAATGTAATAACCGCCTTGGCTTTCTTATCCTTTGAGTTCCACACATCTTCAGCAGCTCTTTCCATTTTCCCCGGTTTGTCTCCGAGTACCACCTCCAAGTCCTTCTGACATAGCAATGCTTCTACTTGCATTTTCCACCAGCTAAAATCAGAACCGTTGAATTTCTCGATTACAACCTTGTCTTCAGCCATTACGACAAACAAGATAAAAACAGGTACACTTGTGTGTGACAGAAAAACCCGACCGTACAACGACAACGATCGTACAGTACCCAAAACGGTCAACCTTGTTTCTGATGTGGCAGATCAGACTAAGCTGCAACCACAGAGCATAATACAAGATATGACCTCCTTCAACCTAAGCTCTGATACCAGTTGTTAGGAATCGGACCGGGTACACGCAGCGGAAACACTATCACCCACCTCAACAAACTCACGAAATAAAAGCAAGAAGAACACAAGGATATTATGTGGTTCGGATTCGGTGCAAATCCTAGATCCACGGGCCGCAACTAGAGATATTTATTATAGGCTTAACAATAAGATTACAAGTATTGTTGTCTAGAGGTACAAGAAAACCGGAATACAAGGCTGCTATTTATAGCCATGGCACCGAAGTGGAAAAAGAATAAACAACTCACAAAAGTCCTTTCCAAGGTGTAAAGCTCCATTATTGTCACTAACCCACTTTGCCATTGTCCCCCACTAAGCCTTGACAACCAATTCCATGTATTTTCTTCACATGGTCTCCACCAACCAACAAGTTTCTCAAGATTAACTAATTTACCAATCTCGGATGGGATTTTTCAACTGAGCTTGTTATTACTAAGATTCAGGTAATTGATTTTTGCCCATTGACCAATACTTCTGGGTATCGACCCATTCAATCTGTTTGTGGATAGATCTAGTACAAGGAATTCATGGAATGATCCAAGCTCCGGAGGTATATTGCCTGAAAGTTGGTTATTAGTCAAGTACAAATTCAGCATACTTTTCATCTTCCCAAATTCCATATGGATTTCACCAACCAACTTACTGGAAGAAAGATCAAGCCTCCATAATTGAGTTGAATTTTCAAACTCCGATGGTATGCTGCCACTAAGTTTATTCTGGCTCGCGTCAAGATCAGTTAGAGACTTCAAATTCCCAAGTCCAGTAGGAATGGGACCAGATAACCTATTCACATCTAGGTACAGAAGATGTAGGTTACTCAGGTTTGCTAGAGATAAAGGAATAGAACCACTAAGTTGATTGTTACTTAATTACTACAAGATCAGTGAGAGACTTCAAATTCCCAAGTTCATTAGGAATGAGAACAGAAAAATTATTCCTTTGTAGGAACATACACTGTAGGTTACTGAGGTTTTCTAGGGAGGAAGGAATATAACCACTTAGTAGATTTTGGCTCATTTGGAAATTAGTGAGAGCCTTCAAATTCCCAAGTTCAATAGGAATTGGACCAAATAATTTATTCTAATCGAGGAACAGAAATTGTAGGTTGCTCAGATTTGCAATTGATGGAGGAATAGAACCACTAAGTCTATTGTTGCTTACCAGAAGCCTAGTGAGAGACTTCAATTTCCCAATATCAATAGGAATTGCACCAGATAACTTATTATGAGCCAGGTTCAGACGATATAGGTTGCTCAGGTTTGCTAGTGATGAAGGAATGTAACCACTAAGTTGATTCATGGCCATCACCAGAAAAGTGAGAGATTTCAAATTCCCAAGTTCATTAGGAATGGGACCAGATAAATTGTTCTCAGCTACGTACAGAGATTGTAGGTTGCTCAGATTTCCTAGTGATGAAGGAATGGGACCAGAGAGCTGATTTTGGTACAAAGAAAGGACATTTAAAGATGTCAAAGAACCCAATGATGAAGGAATTGAGCTAGATAGACTGTTTGAGGATAAGTCTACGAACTCAAGTGAGGCCATGCTTCCAATTTCAGGTGGGATTTCACCAGAAAACTTATTTTGTGAAAAATCAAGATAGATAAGTTTGGACAAGAGTCGGATTTGTGGTGGAATAGGGCCAAAGAAGTTGTTTACACTGAGATCAAAATGTGTAAGATTTTGTAGCAAAAAGAATGAAATTTCTTGAAGCGTACCTCTTAACCCAGAAGATGTGAGATCCAACTTCTGAATGCTCTCATCAGCATTGCAAACTACTCCAAACCAAGTAGTGCATGGGATCGATGCACTGGAATTCAATGGGAGGGGAATCCATGAAGAAAGTAAGGAGTTGTTTGGGACTTGAAGGGTTTCTTTCAATTTAAGAAGAGCATTGCCTTCCTCCACAGAAGCAAAGCAAAATTTGGAACAGGCGAGAGTAATGTAATGATTAGTAGAACAAGAGAGAAAAAAATAAGAAGTTTGAAGAAGACATTATTTGCTTTGCCATGTTGTTTTATAAAAAGGATGGTTTGGGTAAATCCTACTTTATACTTGAGCTACCCTTTGTTCTTGTTTATTTCATTTCCTTTTATTCTAAAAAGAATTTTATGGCAATTTCATATTTTTCCACAAGGATTGTCTTTTATGTAGAAGTTAAATGTCATACTTTTCCACAAAGGACTTATTACTCTTTGAATTGTATTCCTCATGACAATATAGCTAGGAAGAAAAAGAAAAAGAACGTTAAAAAATAAATTTAAAATAGTTAGACATGATTTTTTTTTTCCAGATAAATTTTAGTGCAAGTTTCACTTTGAGTGTGTTTTACTTCAGAATAAAATTATGTAACTGATAATAATATTCAGACGATTCTCAGGTCCAAATTATGTTAATTAGTTAATGTATTAATAGATCTAAATTATGTAACTTATACCAATATTAATTAATTTAGACCATTAGCATGTCCAAATTGTGTGGAGAGAAATTAAATATTCATATATATATATATATATATATATATATATATATATATATATATATATATTTTCTACTCATGGAAAACCATGTCAACGGACAAGTCTTACATTTTAATAAAAAAAAAGTAAAAGATATTATATTTCTCTTGTATTATCGAATCAATTATGTGAATGGGTCAATGGAGACAAGTCAATAGTTGTTGCCTTTTAAGAAAATCTATTTAATGAATGAAGGTGATGATGCATTCCTATGATGCATTCCTTGAACAGGTGAACCCCATAACATAAGATAAATCTGAGGATAATTAAATATAAAGAGATGTTACTTTTCCCTGCATTTATTTATTTATTTTGTTCTTTGAAAAGCGTCTAGAACATCACATACTTACTTTGACTAAAAGTGAAGATAATTAAATAAAATGTAACATTGAATAAAAGGATATTGACCATATTTTTTTAAAGAATTTGACAAATTTGTAAAAATATTCTTTGTGTTTATCAAAAATATATGATTTTGATCCAAAAACGTTTAATGGTACATCAATTGTCCAAATTTGAATACATCGTGTGGTTTTGATCCTATAGTTGACATTTTTTTATCGTTTTGGTCCATAAATATACCCTTAAATATTTCTTGTATAAATTCTTTTAGTTTTTTTTAGACAAAATTGCAAAAATGGTCCCTGTGGTATGCAAATTTTTGGGGTTTTAGTCCAAACCCCGAGTTTTTTGGATCGGTGGTCCTTATGAGCTGGTTTGCTTGTAGTTTTGGTCTCTCGGAAAACTGAAAAGACTAAAATACCCTTGAGGTATTTCTTTTTCATTTTTCTTTCATATTTTATCTATTTTTATAATTAAAAAATTAAGAAAACTCTCTCTCTCTCTCTCTCTCTCTCTCTCTCTCTCTCAACCCTAGAGAACCTCCAGGGCAATCGCAGCCTAGAGTTAAGCAACCCAAACCCACCGTCGTTTTGTGCTTGTTCACTAAAACAACCTTGGGGAAACGTACAAGGAGAATGGTGGCTCTGTATCAAATGAAACCGCTAACGAACATCAACGTCCTTTTGCTTCTGAATATACTCAGACCCCAAAAAAATTAAAAGAGAGAGAGAGAGAGAGAGATTTCTTAATTTTTTAATTCTAAAAATATATAAAAAATGAAAGAAAAGTGAAAAAGAAATACCTCAAGGGTATTTTAGTCTTTTTAGTTTTCCGAGGGACCAAAACTACAAGCAAACCAACTAATAAGGACCACCGATCCAAAAAAGTCGAGGTTTGGACTAAAACCCCAAAAAAATACATACCACAGGGACCATTTTTGCAATTTTGTTTTTTTTTTATATTTTTAATTAAAATAAATAAATAAATAAAATTCCGCCCACTCCACCCTCCCCTCGAAGTCACAACCACCCCACATCTCACTCACTCTCTCAGTCCTTACAATGACTCTCTCTCTCTCTCTCTCTCTCTATATATATATATATATATATATATATATATATATATATATATATATATATATATATATATATATATATAGAGAGAGAGAGAGAGAGAGAGATAGGTTCAGGTGTTTAAAGTAATTATTGTGTTATTGTATGCATAAATGTGGGCCAATCAAAATTTAAAAAATAAATAAATAATCAAACAAATAAATAAGGGTAATTTAGTAATTTGATAAATAATTTTCACAAATACACTCCTATAATTATGGTAATTACTTTGACCTACCATTATCCCTTTTTAAAACAATCAAACAATACTGTATTTTATCCCCTTCGATCCTCCCTAACCCTAGCTCCTAAACAGAATATCGCCACCACCGTCATTTCCAGGTTCGTTCCAAGGCCGTCGATTATACCCCAAACCCAAGCATAGGTTCGCTTGTGAATCACAGTCAACGAATGTTCGTAGGTCAGAGTGCGAGCCTGGTTTCGTTCGTTCGCAGTTTGGCATCAACAATTCATCAATTTTGACTTTTCTTTTGACCTGCAAGAACAACTGCTCAATCATTCCGACCCAACCCAAATTAACCATTTGAAGTGCCCAGAATCCCAATCACGATTCCAATGCCCTGAACATCACACTTCCAAACACATGCTCGATTCCGATTACAGGTATGAGTTACGATTTCGAGACCTTTTCAATTTCTTTTGACATGCCTTGGAACTAGATGATATTAGTAAAATGAATTTGTATTTTTAGTTGATGATGATGGTTTGAGTTTACAGTTTAGTAAGCAGGCAGGACGTGTTATGGAAGAGTGCAAATTGAAATTGATATATCTTCCTCCCCTCCCCCCCCCCCCCCCCAACCACCTTCACATGTTCCTGAGGAACCTGATGAAGGGGCGCTTTCACCAAAGGTGTCCTTCACAGATGGTTGGATTAATATTAATACAAAAACTTCTGATCAGGTTGATTGCACCTTGATTAATTAATTTCTTTTTCAAATACGTACTTATTTTCATCCATCTGTAACATCACATGATGATTCTTGTTCATGCTTGCAGGTTTCAAGACAATATGTGGATTCTGATGATAACTCCTCAGAGGTGAGTTTTCACAATCTCATGTTCATAATCATTTTTTTTAAACTATGGTAATATATAAACATTGGTGAATTATTTCCAGGCAAGATCTCTCATCTCACAGTTGACTGATGAGAAGAATGTTGTTGTTCAACAAAGCAACAAAATTCGACAAGAAATGGTGAGACGACATTTATCCCTCATTCGAGCTTTTGAAGCCTTTTCTTTTTTACTTCATTAAACCTTTTTATGTTCATAATTTTTGCATCCTACTTGGTAAAACACACAGCACCTATTGACGCGTGGAGGAAACAACAAAAGCCAGGGGGATGGTGGTGTTTCATTTTGATTGGGTATGTTTCTTTTGATTGGGTTTTAAAAGTTAAATAGATAAAAAAAAATCAAATATCTTGATGATCTTATTGTATAGTTGTGAATTTTGATAGATATGGAGTACATTGTGATATAAGGGAAAGAAAACATAAACGTGTGGTACAATTCTTGAGATTCACATGAAGAAGATAAAAAGAATCATGAATTCCAATTCTGTTGGAATGGAATCATGAATTCCAATTCTATTGGAATCGAAACTACAATTTGGTTTTGTTTTGACAGAAGTTGATGCTTGAAGAATGAACCGCAAATTTGAAAGTGATTCTAAGCATTCTCAGAGAATATTATTCTTACATGATTTGATTCATGGCAGTTATTTTCGTTAAATGTCTATTTTCATGGATGATCAAGGAAAGAGCTATTCTTCTGATAGAATAATCTACAATAGAATGATATGAGTATATGTAATAATATATTCTTGTAGAATATTCAGGTCGAATAATATATATATTTTTATTTGTTATTAGTGAGTATTTCATTGTCATAGACTATTATATAAAGTTTTTACTTTTTTAAGAATGTAATGAAAATTTTGAAGTTGTATCCAAAAATGTGTTATTAGTCGGTGTTGGCATTCTCATAGAATATCATTCTAATAGAAATATGTATCCTTAAATTCGTAGAGAATATGATTCTAACAGAATAAAATCGTGTAACATCCCAAGTCAGAATCAAGAGTTCAGGGGGTAAAGTGTAAGTTTGGAAAAGAAGGACTCGGCGAGTTGGAGCTGCAACTCGTCGAGTCGAAGCGTGTGCCGGGCACATGTTAAGTGACCGGACTCGCCGAGTCGGAGGCTGGACTCGACGAGTCCGTGCTGGAATGGGAAACCCTAATTCCTGGGGTTTGCACCCTATATAAGGAACCTTAAGCCCCACCCCCAACCTCTTTAGCACCCCCTTTGATGTCCAGAAGCTTTCTCCTCCATTTCCAAACCCTAATTTGAGAGTGAGAGGGATTAAGTGTTTTGTGGAGCTTGGAGAAGAAGGATACTTGAAGCAAGAGTTGGTGGGATCATAGAAGAGCGAAGTGGATCTGATTTCCTTGCTTGTTGGCATCAGATTAAAGGTAAAAAGCTGTTGCCTTGTCTTTGTTGTGCTTAGATTGTTCATGGGTGAAGTTTTAGGGCCAAAATGTCATATAT